CATTTGAGATTAGCCTACACTGGAGGTCGAGAGTTAACATAATGATGGTTGAATTAAAGCCAAAGAAACATGTACATGTACATGTAGCTCTAATTTTGGTGACAAGCTGCGTTATTTCTTTCTTTTTTTCTTTATTTTTTTTACTGTCACTGCTACAAACAGAAAGACATTTACGTGACAAAAGTAGTAAATTCAGAATTCGCAGAATTTTGCAGTTGAACTAGCTCCTTGGGTATCGAAAACTCGCCGCCGTGTTTGTTAGCTTATGAATAACGCTGCATTTTCTATGTTGACATTCAAATCACACCGTACTCATGGCAAACCCGAGCCTCTGCCTAAACAAGTTCCTTTTTCTGTTTCATTGTGAGCAGAAAATGATGAAATGTCACAACTACTTGACACCACGCTCAACACTGAAAAGTGAGTGATTCAATAGAAAGGAGGATCACCTGTCAAGTAGTAGAAAGTACTTTGTGTTATATAAAAGAAGCCTTGCGACATTTCTTCCAACGTGGTCGCAGCGTGTTGTATTTACCACTGGAGAAAGGAGATGACGCAAAATTTAGAATTGATTAGTAACATGACATTGTTTTCACAGTTCCCACTTTCCCCCCTGCAAGCATTTCTTGTTTCAACAATCAAAACACGAACTGAATAATCGTAATCTTGTCGGTTTTTTAATTGAACTTCGATGCCATCGTGAAAAATAACTCAATGTGCCTATCTTCTGGTATCAGTAGCATATATTGGATGGATAAAAATCCAGTACAAATCCAATCAGGTACTTTTTAACTATATAATTGTCTTGTGGATGAACTGAAAGAAAGCCCATCCCTACCCTTAATGCATCATAAACCCGTGAAGGAGCACAGCAATTTTCCAAAATCGTAGTTTAATAATATCCTCATCAATCTATTTATTATGACAGAGGACAAAATTATCTCAGGCGAAAATTGGTGTTTTTAAATAAATTAACTTAATTTAACTTCCCTTAGGAAGACTTTTTTTTTCATTATTATTCCGGGGGATTTTATGGTATTATTAGTCTTTGTTGAAGTAAATCGCATGGGAGTGTTCTCGTGCGTCCATGTTTAGAGTGGGTGTGTGCGTGCGCGTGACTGTACGTGTGTTAACATGAGCTAAATCCATTGTCTACTGGTTTTCAGGGTATGCTACAAGTGCCTGCAACTCACATATGCACGGTTATCTGAAACTTTCCTGGGCATTGTTTAACATAGCGACGAACAGCGCGCTGTGTATGATGGTTTTATACTGGATTCTGGTCTATAGAGGTAAGCAGCTCTCACCCTGATTTTCATGGAAATGTCAATGTACCTTGCTGTGTGTGCCTAATCTAGACGTCACTTTGATAATCACCACCCACGGGGTTTGGTACAAGCTAAACATACAAGTGCATAGGCTTCACAGTTTTTTTTTTTTTTTTTTTTTTTTTTTTTTTTTCTTTTTTTTTTTTTTTCTTTTTTTTTTTTGGAATATTGCCATCTTTGAAAATGAAAGCAAATAAATGAAATTAAAAAAAAAAAATGCATCGGGGCCCACCG